CAAAATGATTTGGTTGAGCATATGTGGGCTCATGTTGGCAACCAATATATTCTTTTATTTGTTTGCAAAACTATGTGAGACATTTTTATTTTTATCCGGCTTGTAAAACTATGCTATTTTATTCGGTTCAAACTATGTTATTTGACTATATGTATGCAAATTCATCAATGCAAAATAGGGCGTCCAGCCGGTCACGCCGACATATATGGGTCAGCGCGTTGGGCGCGCTGCCGACCCATATCTAAAATAGGGCGGACGCCAGGCGGGCGGCCTACCCAAACGGTCAAAAAGCGGACGAAATCGCTGTCCGTTTGAGTCGCCCCATTGAAGTTGCTCTAAGTGCCTGTTTGGAATCTCTCCAGTCTCGAAACTCCACCCCGCGCAAGGAGCTCGGTTTGAGCCACTCTCTGCAATTGTACTGCCGCTCCCTCCGCTTCGGGAGCTGCAGTTGTGGAGCGGAGAGGATCAAAACATGGCCTAAAACTGATGAGATTCTTGCAACATTATTCAACAAGCATTGATGTGCTTCTACTCATACATTTGCCTGATATAGTATTCGTGAACAAATTTCAATAAGGTGTGAAACCGTAATTGAACCGGTGTATGAAGCAAATATTCAGTGAACAGCATGGAACACATGTGTGAAGCCTAACAGGTCTTTCTGCCGTACTAACCTAGCTCATGGAGCTGACCTGACTGGCCACAGCTGTGTTAGCTCGGGACAGACTGGGAGCTTGGAGCTGGTACATGTTATGGGAAAAAGGAATACAAAGATTTTTTTTGCAAAATATCACAAAGCAATTTGGCGGGCCGAACATGATTGATCTGGACCATACATTTTGGATCGGACGCCAGTTTCAAGGTTTCAATTTGAGACTGAGTTTTTAGCTGCTCTAGGGGTGGGTGGGTATACCCACGAACCCACTGTGACAATTGGGCGGGCGATCGATTGGCCACCCTCACGACACGTCCTGATTGTAACCGACAACAATCGCAATGCAGAATTGTCATATTTTTACATTATACCTTTTTCTTTCAGTCCGAGTTAAAAGATTTGCCTCATCTATTAATTATAAGAAGAGAATAGAGTTTAGTTGTCTGTGTTACCACACACCCTTGGTTATAAAAAAAATGTTACTCTCGCTGCATAATTGTACCCAAATGTTTGGCGCCCACGGTAACCCAAAGCACCACCTCCTTGGAACAACAAACATATTCAACGGCTCTTTTTTCATATACTAGACAAACAACAATAGGTTAAACTACAAGTCCAATCTTGTTTTTTGTTTCTTTGACATCTTTAATAGTGTATCGGCTAATGGGAGATCGATTGAGTTGCCTTGTCTTTTTGGACCAATGCTCTGACGATATCGATGTCAATGTACACGGGCACTAAATTTGACCGTGGCATGCAGAGGGCCACGTCTGCGTCCCTTGGCGACTTTTTGGTTAAACGCCTACATGTGCACCGAGGAGAGCGTCTCTAGCATCCTGGTACCCAGTCTGTGTCCTTCGATTTACGGGTCACTCTTGATGAATTTGGCAACCCAGCCTCCGTGTGTCATGGATGCAATAAGAACGAGATCCAAGAGTCTACTACCTCGTTGTCATCAACATCGATCTAGTTGTTGCCTTTGTTAGCCTCGCGCTTTTATCCGCGGCATGCGAGCCATTTTGTTGTTGGTAGTTGTGTAATGTGGTATTGTCGGGAACCTTGAATTGTTAGATACTTTGGTTGTATGGCTTGCTTTGCCATGTTTGACTTCATTTATAAAGGCGGGTTGTCGCTTTTTTTTTAAAGAAAGTGTTTATCTGTGGCATCCAAGCAACAATGCTCAGCCGTCAAGGCTATGGCGCTCAAGGCCGCCACCAATAAGAAAGAATGAGGTGAAATTATGAGGTCATGGCCACCATAGCTATGAGCTCTAACCGCATTGTCACGGCAAGTCCCACACGTTGTCGTCCACCGCGGCTTGATAATGGTCGGCGAGGAGTGGTTGGGGGAGGGGAGCTAGTCTACGGCCGGCAGGGAATGGTCGGGGGAGGGGTGATGGGTGGTGGCCAATGGGGAGCAGGGGCGGAGCCAGAAATTTTGGCCATTGGGTTCACTCCATAACTACATTCCGCATAGCTTTATTTTAGTTTACCAAAGTATGTACCAACTCTTAAAAAAATTCCTTATTTTTTGACTCTTCTGAGGCGTCATCGCCTCAGAAATTTAAGCCTTAATGCAACAAGTATCTTACGGAATCAATGAAAGCATTAAGCCGGATTCGATTTTGCTCTTTGTAAGATCAGTTTGTTTATCAAGACAACCTGAATTGACTGAATTTGATTCATCAAAGCATCACATCTGTTTTTTACTATTGCATTATAAAAGCTAATAACATTAGCCTTACCATTATGAGTATATAGTCGGCTTTTCCTGTTCCAACCGTTCTAGTCGTTCATTGCAAATGTGCTAGTCCAGCTTGTCCCTTATTGTAATATTTGAAAATGTAGCAGCATAAACACAATGCCTTATGCACTTTATCACTATACTCAAGCCAAGGACCATATTCATCAACAATCCGGATTAAATCTCTGTTGAGTATCTCCAATTTTCCTCTGTGGGTAATTAAAATCAGATGGTTGCCTATAAGGTCCTTCGTTAAATATTTGCGTCTAATCTCATCTTGCTTCTGTGGATTTCTTGTGTATTCTAAAATTTTCTTCCGATCGTCCGGATCATAAGGCAACTAATCTAATTTAATTTTTCATGAATAGTAAGCTTTGGGAGACTAGCTGCAGTGACATCTAATGCACTTTGCCTACGTCTAATCTAGTGACCGAGTTCCCTTCGAAAAATACGGCTCCTTAGACTATATCAATCAAAGTTCATGGAGTATTTTTCTAAAAAAAGACGAGGGCAAAACAATAGCTATTGTATTGGGCTATTAGTCTAGATAGAACATATACACGAGAGAGAAGATGAGGCAATTTAATCTAATTACCTCAAGTTTTGGGATTCAATCGTTGCAGAGTCGATCTGCATCCGCCTGCTTGCCACGGGCGTGTGGCGGCGGCCAAAGTGGCCGTGCAACACGCACATGCCAGATGGGAATTGGAGAAACGAACACAGAAACGATGAAAAAGAAGCACATGATAGATTTTTTTGGGGGGTGAGCAGACGATAGATGAGGCGTGCCCCATGCGGCTGCATGCTTGCGTGACTCGCGGACTCACGGTTTAGGCATGTGAATGATTTGTGGGCTCTTTTTTTTTGGGCCTTTTGTTTCATGTGAGGTGTATTTTATTTGTTGGGGTCAGCCAAGATATTTTATTGGGTCCACATCAAATAAATATGTACATATACACATGTACTAGGCAAAAATCCATTGGGTTCATTTGAACCCAATAGCTCTACGCTGGCTCCGCCGCTGATGGGGAGTGGTCTGTGGAGGGGGCTGCTTGTTTGCTGTTGCCGACCGATGAGAGTAGAGAGTTTTTTTGGAGTGGGTCCCATTTGTAATTAGGGGTCAGCTGCTAACGTGGTGGTGTTGAGTCACCAGTCAATGCGGTCAAAAAAACCAGGGGAATGCGAGCAGGGGGTTGAATCTTGGACGGGTTGCAAAGTCTAGGGTGCAAGATAACTTATTTTGAAGTTGATGGTTGATTCTTAAACCGAGTGGCAAGTTTAAAGTTGTAAATGGACTTTTCTCTTTTCTTAGAGTAAGCCATTGTATGAAACCAGAAGCAGTGCATGGGAGTTATATGTCAAGTTTGGGTTCACATGTTACCACTCTTAAAAAAAAAAACGTTGTAGAGTAACCAATCTACCGACAAAGGGATCAACCCAGCTTCATGCTTGCTTGCTCTCCACACTGTCAAAAGCAGAAACATCAATCGGCGTTGCATTTCACGGAACCAAACAATCTGATACGCAAGCTCACCCCAGCCGGGTTAACAGGACACACAAACCACGTAGAACGACGGTCGACCGCTTTACCGAAGCTGACTGGCTAGAAACATTGAATTAGCTTTGTTGGGGTGCGCCAGCCCGTGCTATAGTGCAAGACACGGCTGACAGCTGAGGGACCCAGTGGCAAGCCACTGTGGTGAACCCTTTCACATAAAAATAAATTTAATATCATTGTGCGGGTGTACCCCACATATCAGATATTAAACTGATAATAACAGATACTATACTTGATCTTAGCCAAAGGCCCGAGAAAGGCATGAGCTGGAAGCGCTGTCCTGACCCTTCTATTTGTATCCTCAGCGCCCTCCCGTCCCTGGTCGCTCGGCGAGGTGGTACTAAACGAAACGAGCTGCTTGCTTGCTTGCCTCCCGCGCACGCGGAGCGCCTGCCTCTTGCGTGGGCCTCAACGATTTGGTTTCCACGACCGGGCCTGGCCTTTTAGCCGAGGCCTGCCTCGGTTCAGTCCACGCCGCCCAAAAGAAAAACGTTTAGTGAATCCAGCCGTCGACGCGGGATCCAACGGCCGCCTCGGTTGCCCTCGTGACCTCCGCTCGCTCGCGTCGGGGCCTCGCCCATTCCGCCACCGAAACGTCTCCCTCGCTCTCATCTCTTCCCTCGCTCAGCTGCTTCGCCCCCCTTCCTTCCCCAGAACCTTCTAGAAGCGGAGGCCCCGCCGGATGTCTCCCCGGAGGAAGGAGAGGCGCGTGGTGGCCGTGGCCGGCGCCGCGGCGCTCGTCGCCGTCGGCCTCAACCTCGCCTTCTCCGCCGTCGCCGCCCACCGCCGGAGGAAGCGGCAGGGTGAGCACCGCGAAAACCCTTGGGGATTTTGAATACGAGCTCGTGTGGTTGCTCTGGTGTTGCTCGAGCCGCGCAGAACTACGGCGGTTCTGTTCGATTGCACAGCAATGCAGCATATGTCTGTGTTTATTTCGCCATTTTGCTGTGCGAAATTGACGCCCGAGACTCGGGAAATTCTGCTTTGGGGAATTTGGCTCTTATAGTGACATGGACATTTACTGATGTGGTTTCTGAGTAGTTAATGTATTGGTTTTTTGCAGAGCTTCCAGGGTTTAATGCGCAGGTCAACCTCTCAGCAGCGGAGATCAAGAGATTGGCTGACCGGATTATTGCTAAGTCGAAGGAAACATATGATGCCGTGGCCGCAGTTCCCCTAGATAAGGTATGTATGCAATGCAACAATGTGATGCTACTGCATTTTTATCAGCAGGCTATTTTATGGCTAGGCGTTCATTTTTATCAGCAGCCTGCTTTATGGAATGCCACTTTAATGTCAAAGGCTTGGCATGGTTTTTTGTTTCCATTCCGTGCACAGAACCTGATCGTCGTACATGAGTAGGCATCATGTCGTTGTTGCGCCATGTCTCGTAGATACATAGGTGCCTATGCAGATAAAATAAAATAATAACCTAAATCTTGCTGGATGCAAGCTTGATATTCATACACTATCTACTCAAAAAACATCACCCTGTTATTGCTGGCTACATGATGTGTTTCATTGCAGGTCAACTTCGCTAATGCAATTGCACCGTTGGCAGAATTGGATGCTCAGCAGTTTCCTCTGGTTCAAGCTTGTGTGCTCCCAAGGATGGTGTCACCATCCGAAGATATATGCAGGGCCAGTGCTGACGCAGAGAAGCGATTGGATTCCCACTTTCTGCTGTGCAGGTGCATTGTTACTTAGTTTTATTATATCACTTGTTGGACATAATAACTCTGGTTCATTATACGTTTCCCAAACAGGCATTTATTTACTATTGAAAACAGCGGGAAATTATGCAGCTGATAGAATTAGGTGGCCGTCATCTCCCCCCTGATGGGCTTAGACTCTAGATTTTGTGCCCCTGAAAGGTTTCTTTCTAGCTGTGCTGGCCTTCTGGGGTTCTTTTGATCTTGCATGATCAGTAGCAATGGTGGCTGGTTGGGGCTGTCGTGCCTCCCGGTCTGTAATGGTCGTGACTTTTATTTCGTGTTTGTAGTAGTGTCTTAAGACATATGGTTTTCTATAATGAAAATCGTAGAGGGTAGCCTCTTTTTTGCTCAAAAAAAACCTAGGAAATTATGCATGCTGGTTCTCAACCTGATGTCTATGAAGCGATGATACTCAAACTGTTTGCCCAGTTCAGTGAGCATCTCTAATATATAAATATCGTCCCAGTAGTCTAGTCCAGCCTTTTCGTCGTTGTATAAGTCATATGGTGATATATGAATAGAAATGAACATCCTTAAAAGAAACTGAATTCCCTGTTATTCACCTTTTTAATCCAACATATTACTGTTGAACCCCTAGTGTAAGAATCCTGTTATTTCCTGCAAGGTGACCAGGCAGCGTGAGGATGTGTACCGTGTTGTAAAGGCTTTCATGGAGAGAGGTGAAAGAATAGGTCCGGAAGCAACAAGATTTGTCCAGTGTCTGGTACAATATTTGTGACACTACATTTGAAACTAGCCTCATACATAATCTTGTGTTCTGAGTGGCATCTGCATATTTATATTTGTGGGGTCATCTCCAAGACTCTGAATGATGTCTATCTTCTTGTTAGGATCAATTTGTCCATACTTTTCTGAGTATTGTTGATGGGCAGCTTATAATTTGAGTATTTTTGTTAGAGACTCATTGCATCTATTCATCTTATGTGCTGTTGCATCTACTCGATTTAATCTCTGCAATTATTGTTGGCACACAGGACTAATCTCAGTTCTTTGTTGATGTTAGATCAAAGCTGAAGTTAAATTATAGAACTGGCTAATTATGATTCCTTTTAAGGATAGAGACTATATAGTGCCTGCATACAGGCAGTGTGGCTAACTGCTTGACCCAGTTAGTATGCGATTGCTGACTTCCTCTCATTATGGTTACAGGTAAGAGAGTTTGAACGCAACGGAGCAAAACTAACTCAAGCCAAGAAGGAAGAAATGGAGAAGTTGAAATCTCTAATCGATGACTTAAATTTGAAGTATATTCAAAACATGAGTGATTTCACCAAATTTCTTCTATTAAGCGAGGAAGAGTTGGCTGGAATGCCTCCTGAGTTCTTAAAGGTGAGCTAGGGAAGTGAAAACTTTTCAGAGGGTTCAACATCATGCTTCATGCTTCCAACATTGTGCTTATACGAGTGCACCTTTTCGAAGTATGACATGCAGACTTTGGGATGTTGAAATGATATGTTACCATTTTCTGTCTTCATGGTTGGACAGAAGTGTGAAGTGAAGACAAAGAACAGTCATGGTATTTCTCCCTGATTATGTTTAACTATTACTGTTTAACTCAGGATCTGGAAGAAACAGACGGAAAGCGCAAGGTTCTGTTGACAGGTTACTATGTCACTCCAATTCTTGAGCATTGCAAGGTCAGTTCCACATTTCTGCTTATCATGCACCTGTACATTTGGTTGGTGTCACTGTGACCAGTTACTTAGCGGCTTGTTGCTATATTCTGTGGCCTACTTATGTAGGGTTCTTTTGCACTAGAGCCATGTTTGTTCTATGCACTAGCTGCTAATTTTTTTCTTTCTTTCTGTACTGTTTCCAAGGTTGGCTCTACCAGGAAGCAGATCGCTGTTGCTTATGGCCAGAAAGGTGGAAAACAGAACGTAGCCATCCTAGAAAAATTGGTATCCCCATGTGTCCAACTGCATCTTTAACTTCATAAACTGGTAGTATCTTTTGATTACCAATTTCACTTCATCTCATAGGTCACAGCATCATTCAGTTCTACATGGCATTTCTTTATTGTCTTGGGTTGCATCGTTCTAGCTCCTTGAAATAGGAATTTCCTTATTTTCCTTTCGACATGTGGTAATTGCACTAGTTATGCTTGATTAGTTGATAGTGAGCTTCTTAGGCTATCCATGTGGGGAATGTGAAGGGGGGTGCTGATATCTAGACTTACTAAAAGTGCTTGAAATAACCATCGAATGATTGAAAATGGGTATAAATTCATCTATTGCACATAATTTCATTGTAGACTGGAGCCATGGAACTGACAACTTACAGTTTTTTATATTCAGGTTCAGATAAGACACAGGCTTGCGAGATTGCTTGGGTACTCCAACTATTCTGATTTTGCTATTGAACCAAGAATGCCAATGACATCGAGGAAGGTTTGTGCTTTCTTGTTGTTAAATCTGCTTGAAAGTGTCCAGTTTTAGCTAACTGTGCCTAGTGAATGCATTCTTCCATGCCAAGTCTGAGCTACTACCGAGCTTGCCAACAAGATGGTGTTTTAGGCATTCCTTCTTATGTTCACTTGCATCTGTGTATGCCACCAAGTTAACCCCACATGTTCTAAAGGGTTTTCCGCTACAGGTGTTAGAATTTTTGGAGGAAATGTCAGAACAGTTAAGTGATCTAGCTAATAGAGAACTGACCGTACTCAAAGAACTTAAGGTTTGTACAAAGCTCTCTTTTTGGGTCTATTCTATTTTTGTCACTGATCATGCTCTTTTAATTAATCAGTTGAATCCTTTTCTCGGTCTTCTAATTTCAGATGAAGGAGGAAGGAAATGCTCAATTTGGCATGGAAGATTTATTATACTACATGAAAAGAGGCGAACAGCACAAGGTTGATCTTGACATTGGTGAAATTAAACGATATTTCCCTGTTAAGCTGGTCATATCAGGAATGCTGAAGATGTTCCAGGATCTATTTGGTAGGATTTTACCCATTAAACACTACAACACAACTATCCATTAAATATATGAGCACATTTCCCATGTTTTCTCTGGCAGCGCTACGATTTGAAGAAATTAAGGATGTGGAGGTTTGGCATGATACAGTTCGTCTCTTCTCTGTTTGGGATGCAAGTTCAAGTGATCTTTTGGGTTACTTTTTCCTTGATATGTTTTCCAGGTTTGTTTTCTATGCTTAGTGGTGGAGTCGTCAGTTGCGGAGTCACATTTAGAGGAATGTGCGTCAGTGATGAAGATTAGTGTTATCTTGGTTAATCAAAGACTAATATGTGCTAAATGCTTTCATTAAGCTTGCAGCTACACATTCTCACTGTGAGAGCCAAAATTAGTGGGTGTACATCTGTACACCCATATCTTGGTGTGGCTCCGCCCATGGGAGTCGTAATAAATTTAGTGGCCTCAGGATGCTATTTTATGAAGTTTAATTGAATACAAACACTGAAAGTTGGCCGGCAATTTCTCATTTTAGAAATATAGGGAAAGCTGGTTCCTATCTTATATATCTATTGCACGGTTTATCATAGATGTGCAACCAAGGGAGACCAATTGTCCTAGGTTTCAAACATACATTTTCAAGAGAAAAATTATCTCAACAAATGTAGATTGAAAGCCCATGAAAGAAATAATGAACTGATAACGCAGCATAAGACACACAAGTCAAAAGCACATGCACTTCCACATGAACTTGTCCAGCAAACAAGGTAATTTAATCACTAACTTGCCTTTTTTCCCCTTTACAGGGAAGGAAAATATGACCACACCTGTGTTGTGGCACTTCAGAATGGATACATGTGTTCTAATGGTTCACGTAAGGTAACTCAGAAAATCTGTATATTTGCTATTGTAATTTCAATGTGATTTTCTTGTTTGCTCACTTGTTTGAAAGGATTGTGAGTCAACCTTATAATGTTATTTTCTTACTGTGGCATAGTTAATTAAACACTTTGGGTAGTTGAAGTGTTACAGGCTGGTTGTCTAATGATGCCTGAAATACCTATAATCAACGGAAAGTACACCTGGAGTCTATTCAAGGACGAATTATTTCATTATGTTAATTCAGAATTTTTGTGACAGGTTCCGGTTGCAGTCTTATTATCTCAATGCCCGAAAGAGTTTGATGGGAATTCAGCATTGCTACGGTTCCCTGAAGTTGTGAGGATATTTCATGAATTCAGTCACGTGGTAGACTAACCTCAAACTTTTCCTTGCATGTTTTTCCAGTCAAATTCTTAAACCAGAAATATTCAAATTGTCACAGTGACGTGTAATTTTCCCTTGAGAGTAGAAAGATGGCTCTGATCAATACCAGATTGACAATTTATCTACTCATATGTTCAATATTAAATAAAAGTCACTACTAATTGTTTCAATATCCTGCAGGTTCATCATATATCGAACAGGGCCACCTTTTCTAGATTTTCAAGTCTCCGTCTGGAGGGGGACTTTGCTGAAATTCCAAGCCTGTTACTCGAGAACTGGTTGGCATATTTCTTTTTCGTCAGTAACATGCCCACACTTCTGTATAATTTTGGAAGATGCCATTTCTTGCATGTAAACATAACATTGTGATCACAGGTGTTACGAGAGCATTTCCCTGAAAATGATGTCCGGCTTCTATCAGGTGATGAAGAACAGAAATGATGTTTTTGTACTGAAACTATCTTCAAACTCTATGTATTGCCAGGAACAAGAATGAAAATATAAAAGAACTGCTTCTAGTGTGTAACCTGTATGAAATATTAAGGAATCGAGTTATTCTAGGCAATGGAACTACAGCTACCGAATTCATAGATAAGAAACAATGTTTGCTTCTTTGCATGACTCAAGAATCCTAATGTTAAAAAATAGCATATGAGCTGGTTGCTATGACTCTTTTTTTAAAAGGGGAATTTGATGACGAACCAAAAAAAAAATACTTTAACAAGTTCTTGTTAATCTGTTGAAGCTTGTGCCAACTAGTACTTGAAGCCTTTTGTTCTCATCATTGTAGGACATCACAAAGTCTGTCACTACTGAAGCTTGCCAGTCACTGAAAAGAAGGCGTGACATGTTTGCTGGCCTGAAATTGAAGCAAGAGATCCTTTTGTGTGAGTCACTTTTTCATTCTATAAGCATGGGGAATGAGAATAATCGTCCTGAAAATACTTGTCTAGCTCAGATACTCCTACAAAATAGTGAGATGCCGATATATTTTGTTAATATCACGAGGACTTCTCTGACATTTCATTGTCCCTGTTACCTATCCTTCTTGAGTCGAGTAACAATATGTTCTAATTTTGCACCCATTAGGAATTCTGCTATTTGAACATCATAAATCCAGTCCAGTTTCCTTTTTTTCCCACCTATTCTCCGAAAAGTCAATATTTTCCCACCTAGTAGCCTTCTTGTTATTTTATTCATTACGACAAATATTATATACTGTAGGGTAGCCTTCTTGTTCACTAGTTTTGATCTGCACCTTTGGTTTTACCAGGCCTTGTTGATCAGATAATACATACAAGCGAGAATGTGGACATCGATGACTTGGTCAAAGATCTTCATCCCAAGGTACATTCTAAACGATTTCCATTCACTTTTATGTCACTTATGACCATGAGGGTGAAATGCTCCTTTTTAAAGGTAATGCTGGGGATACCTTTGTTGGAAGGGACCAGCCCAGCTTCATGCTTTCCGCGTATTGCTGTTGGCTATGACGCTGTGTGCTATAGTTACATATGGAGCGAGGTCTGAGCAAACACTACTCTAGAGGCCTGTTACTTCTCCATCATATGTTCTGGAATGATAGAGAGTGATATAAATTTGTGCATGCAGGTATTTGCTGCTGATCTATTCACAACGAAATTTAAAGATGACTTGCTAAATCAGCATGCAGGGTTGAGGTTTAGAAATAAGGTAGTAAATGAAATGATGCTCTTCTAGGCGTGTTATTTGATCATATATTCATGTTGCTCATAAACGCTTTTGCATTCACTTCAGGTATTGGCTCCAGGAGGCTCGAAAGATCCTCTTGAGATCATAACTGACTACTTAGGAAGAGAACCGTCGCTGCAGCCTTTCATTCAGAGCAGAACAAGGAACGCTTTGTGAAAGATCGTGTAGCACTAGCCCATGAAGTTTGATTACCGTTGAGTTACTTTTTTTTTTCCGGGATGAATGATTACCGTTGGTTTCAGAGTGACAGTTTGTTACTTGATTGCAGATCTGGTTAATGGTCAATGTAAATTTGTGCCAAGCTCTCTTGGAATAGTTATTTCCTGGCACTGACCTACTCAGGATTTCAACTTTGTGGCGTATAATACTTTTTAGTGTCTATCACTAGTTTTTTTCCCTTTGTTTTTTGCGGAGCTATCACTAGTTTCTTTATGTAGCAAGGGAGCGTGAACGATGAGCCTGGATTATGTTGGTGCATGAAGCATGTCTTAGCAGCTTTCACTTTAAAGCCTTGCAGCATCAAGGTGGATAGTTTGAAGGAAATGTGTAGCATGCACACAAGATAACTCTCATTTAAACAGACATGATTATAGGTTTTATCTTGTAATTTCAAATAAATTTATTGATATTTAAAGGCAAACCAGGTAGGAAGGAAATAGAGCAACATGGTTGTCAATGTTGGACGACATACATTATTCACGTGCTATGGCATGTCAACAGCTTTAGGCCATGTTCGGTTAATCCTCTTGCCACAGGGATTGAAGGGGGTTGAGGAGGTTTGAGAAGGATTTTGACTTGCAAAGGATTTAATCCCCTTCAATCCCTTTCAAACCCTGCCAAACTGAACAAGGCCTTAGGGTGATAATTCCTTTCAAGCATACCAAAAGGTCCTTTGTTAGTAGGGAATCAAATGCTGGAGAATTTATTTCTAATATATACTCAATTTCGGATCAACCTTGGCTAAGTCAATTTTCAGATAAATTTGTTATACTAATAGGCAGCAGATTCCGGATAAATTTGTTATACTGGTTGGCAATAGCAGATTATATGCTACTCCCTCCCTAGTGTCAAAAAATGTCTTACATTATGGGACAAAGGGAGTATATTGATTGTATGCCACAAAGGATGGCAAACAGGGAAGAAGGAAAAAAGATGATGATTTCTTTTCTGCTAGTCAGAAAAATAACATTTTTTGCATCCTTGTCAGT